CAGCAGCAGCAGCAGCAGCAGCAGCAGCAGCAACAACAACAGCAGTAGCAGCAGCAGTAGTAGTAGCGCACACAACATCCGCATCTCACGGAAACACAACTCAACTCCAACAAAACAAAAAAAAAACGCAGAAACCTGCTTACACCCATAAATATATAAATATGCGTGTGTGTAGAGGGAAATAGAGAGAGAGAGAGAGAAGAGAGATGCATATGTTTTTGTGTCGAGGGAAAACGTTTCGTCTTCAATCGTTAAACCATATCGCTGCCCCCCCCCCTCTTCTGTTTCATCTTCCGTTGCAAGATCATTTCACATTATACATTAAACAGCTACTCCTCCACGCACTGCGAGGAGAAGGCGGACGTACTAGAGGCAGAGGAAAAGAAAAAACTCTCTCTCCCTGCACGCGCACGCTGCTGTCCCTTTGCGTTAAAGTCCCAGACATCTTTTCTGCGTCGCAGCACACGGTTACCACCGCATGCAGTTCGACACGGACTGCTGTTGCCGCTGGGGTTCCCCCCACTCCTTTCACTTCCACCTCTTTCATCATTGTACTTGGCATCGTCTTCTTCCTCCTCCTCCTCCTCTTCTTCTTCTTCTTCCTCGTGGTCAATAGCCGCGTACAACGTTAGCTTCTCCACCATTTCCACCTGCCGGACAAGACGTTCATTTCGCGTGCTCTTCNTTTCACTTCCACCTCTTTCATCATTGTACTTGGCATCGTCTTCTTCCTCCTCCTCCTCCTCCTCTTCTTCTTCTTCTTCCTCGTGGTCAATAGCCGCGTACAACGTTAGCTTCTCCACCATTTCCACCTGCCGGACAAGACGTTCATTTCGCGTGCTCTTCTCCGCCATCTGCAGGAGTTCGTGGTGCAAAAGTTCCTTGGCTGTTGGGCGCTGGTCGGGGTCCACACAGAGGCACCTCTCAATAAAGGAGTACAACAGCGGATGCACATCGGCAATCGGGGAGATATCCGGTGTATCGGTGAGCTTGCTCACGTAGAAGAAAATTCCCATGCCATGTGCGCACTCCAGATACGAGAAGGGCGGCACGCCACTCGCCAGCTCCAGTGCCACACAGCCCAGAGACCATATATCCGCCTTCTGGTTGTACCCCATACCCTGAGAGACGTCAGCGTTCATTACCTCCGGCGCCATGAACTGCGGGGTGCCCAGCATCGTGTATAATTTATCGGTTGCCCTTTTAAGGCGTTTCGCGGTACCGAAATCGCCAATCTTCGTGCGACCACGATGATCTAATAGAGCGTTCGCCGTTTTGATATCACCATGAACATAGTTCTGCGAGTGAAGATAGGCGAGACCGCGGCAGAGGTCCTGTAGGTGTGACACAATCGAGTCCAGTGGGAGGGGCCCGCCGTGAGCACGAATTTTGCCCTGCAGTGTGCCACCTGACGCCAGCTCCATATACAAGCACAATTGTGTGTCGCTGTGCTTCTGACAATAGAAATAATGTATAATATTCTCATGCCGAAGAGACGTCATTGCAAGTAGCTCCTGAACAACATCATCAGCGAGCACACCGTCTTCGAGGCGCATACGCTTCATTGCCAACTTACCGCCCGTCAGAAGATCCTCGACTTCGTACACCTCCCCAAATGCCCCTTTGCCCAGCAGTCGTCCCACCTTGTGACGGCCTTCTTGCAGCTCCGTGAAGGCAGTTCGAAGTTGCGCAATCCGCTCCTCATCCTCCAGCATACGAGCCACGAGTTGCTCTGCCTCATGCATGGCAAAGTGCAGCAGTGCCCCAGAAGCCGGTTTGGGCAGCTCAATCACATGACAGTTCTCCATCAACTTGCGTGAGCGCCAATCATTGAAGTCGTCTGTGTAGAGCACCACAACGAGGTGCGTCTGGTACTGCAGCGCGTCGAACGGGGTGTTGCCGTCCCTAAAGGAGACATGGTCTTCATCCGTAGCCTCCAAGTGCGGCGGATCAATCACGAGAATGTCAGCACACCCGCACTCCACCTTCATCATCACTTCACAGTATGATGTGACAGGAACAACGGCATGCCGACGCGCCCACATTAGCTGACAGAGATTGTGGCGCTGCTTTGCGTCGCGGTCGGCAACAATAACAGTGAGCGGCCGACTGCCGTACAGCGTGGCGGACTCATCCTCCTTGTCAACATCATCGGCCCATGGCACAGGCAAGAGAGGGAGTTCAATGCTGGTGGTGTTTCCCATTGCCGATGCAAAGGAGGTCTGAAATGACAGACTACCACCCATAGTGGCGACGAGCTCCTCACACTCCTTCACCACCACGCGACGTGTGCTGCTGGTGCTCGAGATATTCGCATTCTCAATACTTTGGCTTGTTATCGCTTCCGAGTTGTCGTTGACATTCGACTCATTCTCTGGAGAGTTCCAGTTTTCTGTAATGACAATGCGAACGCGCCGCATCGAGGACGAAGCAGACCCATCAATCAATTGCCGGTGCTGTGACGCGTTGCATAACCACACGTTATCTTTTCCAAATGTGATGTTGCTCCCACTCCCGACCCCACTGACGCTCTGTGACTGTGTGGAATGTATAGAGGATGGGGTCAGGATGTGCGGCGGCATGAGGCTGGCGCGTCGTGATATGTCAATCCCGTAGGAACTTTCGCGACTCGCAGAGTTTAACGCAGTCGGCTGCACTACCGACACCTTCATCACGATCTGAACGTTCGGTCCATTGTTGTTTGCGCCACACACCACCCGCCGCAGCACCTCTAACGCGTGCTCCACGTCCAAGAATACCTCACTCTTCGGCACGTCCGGCTCGACTGTTCCAGTGAAGCTGTTACCGGCGTTATTCACCTGCTGTGACACTTCCCGAGTGAACTGCCGCACAACGTTATGCAGTCGTACTGGTTTCCATGACTCATTCATCGACTCCACGTTGAGTATTGAGAGCCGCAGATAGCGTTCCATCAACTGGTTGCATGCCTCAACATGGCCCTGGAGGCGTTTACCATCCTCTGGCGAAATATCCCAGTTCCTCGCACCAAGGTTTTCCACTCGTTTTTGGAACGCACGGAGCTGCGGCCGCAGGACTTCATTCATCCACCGCGTTGCGTCCTCCATATAGTTTGCCGCAGCGTGGTTCTCAGCTTCACGGCCCACGAGTAACATCACATCACCAGAGGCCTCGATGCACGACGGCACGACACTCAAAACCAAGTTGACGTGGTACAGCGCCGAGGACTGGCGAAAGCGGTAAGCACGCGGAGACGAGTGCCCAGCCGTGACGTAGCCATCCCAGTTGCCAGCGCACATGCGTGCTTGCAGCAGCTGTTCCCGCATGTAACGTCGGGCGGTGTCATTGGCGAGGAACTCAAAGATGCGTTGCCCAAGGACGTGGTGCTGCTGGAACCCAGTGATACGTCCCGCTGCAGCATTCCAGCGGATGATAGTACCATCTGCCACCACAACAATCATGACTGTATTTCCAGCTTCAAGGGCGGAAACGGGAAAGCGATACAAATTTCGCTTCCCCGCATACATTATCTCTCCTGCTGAGCGCACATGCCGCCACTTGGCTCGACCCATTGTTTTTGCCATGGTGGCTCCAGCTGCTCCGATTGGCTTGGAGGTGTAGGGACTTGACGTCTGGGTAGAGTTCGAATCACGCTTCACCTCCCGCGCATCACCCCTTTTCTTGGAGCTGCAGCTGTCACGTACACCAGATTTCTGCAGCTCCTGGAGAACATCACCGGTTGCCAGGGGAATAAGCGCCATTGCAGCTTGGCTCCCGCCCACCACAAACTTCATTTCATTCATGACGTGTTGGGACATGATCATGTGAAAATACAGTTTGTGCACTTGCGCCAGTTGCACATTCGTCGTCGCCACTATATCCGTAAGTGCCTTTGAGCGGAAGAAAAACTCAACATCGGCAATTACACTCCCTGTAGTGGCGTCTTGTAGGGAAACAACACCGGAGACACCAGATGAGCCGCTGCCACTCAATGCATTCTCCCCTGGCTCCTCCTCATTGTTCTGAACCCGTCGCGCTCTGCCGCCGATCACCAACGAGAACCATTCCACCGGCCTCCCGCGTTGCAAAATGAGAGAACCGGCATTATAGTTCCTCACACGCAAAAAACCTGCCAAACGTTTGCGCTCGCTCAAGGAGAGTGTTGAGAGAATATCGGACCTGTCAAAAAACCTGAGGAACATGGAACGTCGGGCCTCTTTTTCATTGTCCAGTAGAGTTTGAAAGGCATCAAAGTGAAGGGTCAACACAACAGCGTCCGACACGGCGCGAAAATCCGGTGGGCCGAACATCTCGGGATCTTGCAACATCTCTCGCCAGCCAAAGATAGAGCCGCTTGGGAATGTCCTCACGTCACGGCCTTCATACACCACCACAATCGCCCCAGTATAGACAAAACTAAGTGCGCCCTCGCACTTTAACAACTGACCACTCTGTAGAACGTGGCGTTCCATGCGGCGGATGAGAACTTCCTTTTGCGTTTCGTCAAATTGGCTTAATGGCTCATACGCTGCGAAGCCTTCTCGCACCGCGTTCAGCTCGTCCTCTTCGACCAATGTATGCCTCCGCAAGAGTCCCGCCATACGTTCTCGTTCTTCCCCACTTAACGCTGTGTAGGCGGAGCCATCAAGACGGCATTGGTGCCAGAGTGAGCTCTGAAGTGGGGATGTAAAACATAGCTGCGAACGGGAGTCATCATCGTAGCTCCGGCCAAGCGGAAGTTCCCGTGATGTGATCCTGTCGCGTCGCTGCAGTGGGCCAGAGGATGAAATAGGTATCCGGGCGAAGGAGGAATGCGGCAGCTCATCCGTGTTCTCAGGGTCTATCATCTCCCGCGCGACGATGCTGGCGGTCAGGGCGTCGTTCACCAACTCCTGCAGGTGAGCCGATGGGAGTGGTGTTTCGTTGGCAACGTTGGTGACATCAAAACTGCGCACACTCGCAGAAGATCGCCCCGCTCCTTCTGTTAGTGTCGGACCGTTGCTTTCTCTGTTTATCATCGGCCCCAGTGAGGAATCCAGCCGAAGCGGCAAACATGATGAGGGTGATGTTTTCTTATCCAGAAGACCTTCAAGGAATACGAGGGCGGCAGTGTGTTCCGTTGGCGGGAGGAGCTGCACTATTTCTAACAGCTGCCTTGTGGAGGCAAGAAGCTCAGGGTCGACATACACCGGTGTTAACTCCTTCTTAAACGGCATCCGTTCAAGCGACAAGGCCAAGCTTACCTGTGTCTTGAAGGAATTTTCCGCCGGTGTATCCTTGCTGTGGAAGGAGTTTTCGCCCAATTGGAGGCCACTACCAAAGGTGTTATTCCGTCCAGCGTGAGAAACCTCAATACACAACTCCTTCACAGGCGCAAACACGGCGAGTTCAGGCGAGGTTTCGCCATCCCCATCACCGTCTGCCTTGGTGCTTGTCCCACCACTGCCGTAGGAACCTTCGTGGCCGCATGTCTTTTGCTCGGCGGCGGCGGCAGCAGCAGCCTCGTTTCCCTCGCGTGACGCTTCGCCACACCCGGTCCCTTCCTCTTGCGACATCTTCGTCAACCACTGAAGCATGAATGCGAGATGGTTTCTTGGTTTGCACTCGACAAGCTCATGGGCGAGGTTCTCCACGAGTTCGACAATGCCGTGCTGCTGCAGATACGCATCATCCTCGTGCGCGATGATGTGCGGCGCCGTCCCCCTTACCATCGCGCGTGGATAGGTCGAGGCGAGTGCCCACACGAATGCAGGAAGTGAGTCTTTCTTTTTATCGGCTTTTTTTTTT